TCCACAACAGCCGGTGCCATGCTGCATTGAGTGTAAGCTCCTGTGTATAGAGACTAATGTGACTGGCTCAGTGTTCTCTGTACAGCACTGTGGTATATGTCAGAGATATATAAATGTATAATAATAGCGTGAGACTGTGGGGGGACATTAGAGTTTAAGCGCCTCTGGTGGGGGGCTTGGGGGTCAGTGAGATAAAATCTTGCACCAGAGCCCTTTGTTCCTTAGGTCCGCCACTGGGAAGAACAGCAACAAGCTGGTGGTGAATGCCAAGCTGGAGGTGAAGAAGCTGCAGGTACTGGTCAGGAAGCTGGAGAAGCAGAACGAGCAGCTCCAGAACCTAGCCAGCGCTTTCAGCCTCTACACTGCCAGCCTGCACATGCTGCTGCCACCTCCCCCTCTTGCAGTGAGTCAACCGGGTCTGTCCCAGCCCGCCGTACTTTGACTCATTCCTCTCCTCTAGGTGACTGACCGGGGGAGGGCCTAGCCATGTAGGCTGTATGGGGCACCATGATTTCTAATGGTGGCCCTGGTGGGGGCCATGTTGGACCTCTGCAAAAAGACCACTGCTTCCATACAGAGAACAAGGTAGTATGCTGGCAGAGAATAGGTTTTTCTACTCAGGCTGCGGCTGCTTTCTGAAGAAAACAAACTGTAATACTTTGTACACCTTTTGTTTTGTTGCACCTGAAATATATTTAACTGATTTAAACTGAATGTCCATTTTGGCTTGAAGTATACGTGCATCCTAAACTACAATGCAGGAATGGAACTTGAAACACTTGAAGCAGACCAAAGGCACCTGTCAAATATTTGCGAAAGATCTCTGAAGCGTTTTAAACTGATGTAAAAAAGATGACATTGACACAAGCCCAAAGCCCCTCAACAAGATTATACAGCTTTTGTACAATTTTTGTAAATACAAATTATATAGTATCTAGAATACATGACACACTTTGAAATGCTTTGAAACATGTTTATCCAATTTATGCAAAATCTGAAATATGATATGAAAATCAATATGAATGGCTTTCATTTACAGCAAACTGTTTTGTTAGGCATTGAATAGAAAATATACTTCTTGGGAAATAACAAGCAAATCAGTTGACCTGGTAGTTCATTCATTGTCTCAGGTAAGTGCACTGCATTCTTAGTCATAGCTACTTAATGCATAGCATTACGCCTGCCCATTATGTTTCTAAAAATGCCAATTGGGTTCTTGAGTGCTAAACTGGGACATACTGTCTGGCTTCCACAGTGACCTTGACTTGATAAAATTAGCACCTCTTGCTTTTGCAAC